CAGTGGCAGAGGCAGTGGCAGAGCCCGAGCACTAGCAGGGGCCCTGCAGCAGCGGGTGGGTGGCAGCGCTTCAAGAAACGAATGGAAAACGAAACTCGAACGAAAGGCAAAGGCGCTCGCCTCGCCTCGCCTCGCCACGCCACGCTCTCTGCTAACGAGGCGAGCGCACCCCACCCCCACAGACAATTGAGCTATCAACTGTTTCATTGCCCATTCGTTCCGCCTTTCAGCTCTCTTCGTCGCTCGGGTTGTTTGTTTGCGCGAGGGCTCGGCTCGGCTCGGCGCGGCGCGGCTCGGCTCGTTTCGCTTTCAGTTTCCGGCCCGCCGCTTGGTCTAGTTTCGCTCGGAGCAGGCGCAGCTGCGTGGGAACTCTCTCTTCGACGGACTCTCTCTTTCCATTTTGGTTTCAACTTTGATTTCAATTGCCGTCTCTTAAATGCAGTTTGGCTATCACTTTTATTACCACTAATATTTTGCTTTCTGTTTCCTGTTTTTCCATATTTTTCTCAAAACTTCCCTGCTTTTCCCTTTTCTCTTTCGTTTTGCATTCATCTCTCATTCTCTTTGCTGCACGTGTGGGCCGTTCAATTGCTTTCAACCTGCTTTCAATCCGCTTTCAACTGCCTCTCAATCGCTGCACTCAAACTTTGCTTTCAATCCGCTCTCTTTACTGCACTTGTTGGTCCCTGCTCTTGCTGTCAGTTTTCGCAGCTGCTCTCTTTCGGTTTACTTGTTGGTCTGGGAGCTGTGCTCTTCGGGTCCCAGGTCCGTTGTTGATGTTCCATTTCAGTTTGTTTCCCTGCCTGTTGTTCCATTTACCACTTACCGTTGCCTTTAAAGCACTTCCTGCTCTCCTGTTTGGCTTAAATTGTGCATGTCGTATTCTGTTCGGACCTGTTTCTATCCCGTACCGAGCCCGCTCTCTTCTCTCTTCCAGTCTCTTCTCTTTTCTACTGTTCTGTAATTGTTGCTGTTTATTTCATGCGTTTTTGTTGTGGTGTGCTGCGCAACAGGTTCACTTCGCTGCCCGATGCCGCTGCCCGCTGCCACTGCCTCTGCCCGCTGCCGCCACTGTTGCTGCCTCTGTCGCTGCTACTCTCCCTGTCTCTGTCCCTCTTCTGCCTTTGACTATTTTTATTTCCCTTTTTTGTTGCGCCTTTTCCCTGGCTCGTTTGTTGTTTATTTGCAGGATTGTTCTTGTCGCTGGTTTTTGTGTTTTTTTTTCCCCTCTTGTTTTTTCTTGCTTTTTCTTGCATATGCAAATACAAAAACCGTTTTATGCTAGCTTTGACTTTGACTTCGGCACTGCTTTGACGCTGGCTTTGATTGTGCTTTGACTCTGCTCTGCCGTGATACCCTTTGCCGAGGGTATTCTTATTTTTAAACACAGTTTGCTACATATAGAAAAATATCATGTTACTTTTGGTCCCATAAGTGTGTCTACATACAATACTTCTAGGAAAAAAGGCCCTGCAAATTACAGTTTAGAGAGAATATCCTGTCCCTGGCTGAAACACAAACCGACCGAGGAATGCTGCCGCATTACGCGCTACACGTACCACAGATTACCTTTGTATAAAAAAACCTCCTTATTTATTAATAATAACATCTAATATGCAATCGGTTTGATTGATTGATTGATCTACCAGGGTATCAAAAGCCTCGACTACTCCGATCATAGAATGTTTTGAGTTACTGTTTTCCCTTGCCTTCTATGCTTTTCTTTGGTTTTCTTTCTGCTTGTCTGCCCTGCCCACACACACACACACACACACACACACACACACACACACCAGCCGGAACATGTGCTTGTGTATTCGTGTATAAATAAATTTGCATATAATTGTTTGCATGTTGAGTGCCTTTTAATTGATTTTATTGGTTTTACAAGCACTGCACACGGCAGAAACAGCAACAACAACAACAATTCTCTCTCTCTCTCTGTCTCTCTCTGGTAAGCTCTCTCTCTTTCCGCCTGCTGCTTCTATCTTGTATCTGGCATCTGCATCTGTGGAGCCGCCTGCGGCACACAATTTATTTACTTGTACGGTAAGCCACTTTTGGCATGCATACACCCAAAGACCCTCCACCCCGCCACCATCCCCCTCCACAAACGATCCCCAAAAACCCAGAATTAACAAGGCCTCGTATCTCCATCTGACTTTGTTTGTCCATCTGTATCTATGTGTGTGTGTGTGTGTGTGCGTGTATAAATTATGCCATTTATAAGCTGCATATTTTATGGGTCGCAGGTCGTAAATTGTTCGAACAGAACCCCCCCACCCCCCTCTCCTGGTCGAGCCCCCGTTATGATTGCAAAAATCGATCGACAATTTTTACTGCATTATTACACCCAATTTTTGGAATGCAAATCAAAAATTGGCTTTAATTTAAACAAAACCCAAAATTAAACGAATTTTCATGAATTTATTTTAATGGGATTAATTTTTAAGTGTTTCTATTAAATTGATAGGTTTCCATATTTGGAACCGTTTAATGTTTTAATTTTAGTTTAATTTCCTTATGAATTTACGGCGTGATTTCCCCTCTAAGCCCAATGCAAAAAAAGGTTCAGAATTTCAATGAAATTTCTTGAAATTCTCTATGAAAAAATGTCTCTAATTCTGGCAGCGAAAAAGTATTTATTTCCAAGAAATTTTTGCCTATTTTTATCTTCCATAAATTTCCACATTAAAGCTCTTAAATTCTTCAAAAAAATTGTCCAAATTTTTGATCTGTGAAAATGTGAAAAATTTCATTTCCCGCAGGCAAACGTAAACATAAAATACAACTGTAATTAAGTGCGACGGAAATATGCCAAAAAAAAAAAAGAGAGAAGAGACCAGAAAAAAAGCAAAGAAATGGTTGCCAGGGTTGCCAGGGCTGCCGCCCCACCTCAGTGGTCTGTCAGGGCTGCCGCCCCACCGCACTCGTCCGTCAGGGCTGCCTGCTGTGGCTGTAGCTAATCAAAAACTGCGATTCATTGCCGCAGTACAAGAAGCAGTACAAGAAGCAGATGAAGAAACAGAAACAGAAACAAGGAGATGAACTGTGGGCCAAAGCAGTGGAAAAGCAGAAACAGAATCAGAGAAAGAGAAAGAAAGACAAGAAAGAAAGCAAACAGCAAACGACTTCTGCCAGTGACAGCCACTAGAGGGCGCTGGGCGTGACAGAGATTCGGGCGGCAGCCACAGAAAGAGAAGAAGAGCCTCCCACCCCTAGAAATGGGTGTCAATGACTGGGTCTCTGGCAGTCAGTCCTCGGAAGGTGATAATAATCAGTTGGCAGTTTTAACAAGACACACACGCACTGGCACACGCCCCACGCCCCACGCCACACCATGCCACATGCCACACACACACCATCTCATGCACATGGACGGGAAAGAAAAAAAGAACCAACAAAACAAAAACTGTCGACGCTGCCTCCATGGTAATCCATCTTCACAATGGTTGCTCTTGGACACCAGTTATCTATCCATCCACAGTCTCTGCTCCTGCTCCTGCTCCTGCTCCCTCGCCTCCTCTTTGGGCACTAAATCCAGCAGTAAAGAAACTAGATACAAATATCTTTAGCCCTGGCTTTGATACGAGTATCTCCATGCCTTTGGCCTCTGCTGTAATTATAGTGGCAGCTTATAGTCCCGGCATCAGTGGTGCCTGGCCCCACATGCCCTACTGCCAAACTGCCACTTGCCACTTTCCACTTTCCCCACACGCCCCCATACTACCCCCACCCCCACTCCCTATTTTCCCATTTCCGTCTCCTGCCATTGACAAGTCCAAGTTCCAGGCTCCAAACAGCAGGGGGACAGGGGACACAGCCCGGGCAGTGAGCATATCAAGTGAACTGCCCAAAACACACACACGAGCACATAAAATGCACACACACACACACACACACATCGGGAGGAGAAACACTCAAGAAAGGAACGAGGAGGTAAGGGACAGGGGGCCAGGGGGGACAGGGGCACCCAGGACCGTAAAGCAGTCACATGTGTCCTCTCTCTCTCGATGTTCGTAAAGTTGATTCATTCATTGCCGAAATTTATATGACCCCGGGACCAGCAGCAGAGATTTTCAGTGCGCGACTCCCCCCTACCCCCCTACCCACCTACCCCCCTACCGCTCCACACTGCCCACGCCCCCAAAGAAAACTATGATGTGGGATGAGGCTGAATGCGTAGCCCCAAATGCGAATGCGGATGCGTATGATGGGGCGAATGATGATGATATGCCACTGACAATGACGGTTGCCCGTCTCCGTCTCCGTCTCCCAGTACCAAATGCTGGCTAATGTCGCCCGCTCGCTGTGCCGCAAACCCAGACACCGCGTGGGGCAGCTGCTACTACTCAGTGGGGCAGCGGCAGTGGCAGTGACACTCCTGCTTCTGTTAGCCAAATGATTTATCTCACAGCGGGCTTCGAACAGAAGTGTCCATCCTGTTTGGGGGCCTACTGTACGGGGGAATACCAATTAGATGGTCTAATGCTGGCAGGCAGGAGGCAAGCAGTTCGGGAAATCTGGCCAAGCGATTCCCATGAATCGATAAATAATCGTTAAACCGATAATCAGTCTTCGAATGATGGTTTAGAGTAGAAAATAGCTTCAAACGATATGTTATCGATTATTCGAAGCTCAAGAAATCTGTCCAAGCGATTCCCATGAATCGATAAATAATCGTTAAAACGATAATCAGTCTTCAAATGATGGTTAAGAGCAGAAAATCGATAAATAATCGTTAAACCGATAATCAGTCTTCAAATAATGGTTAAGAGCACAAAATAGCTTTAATCGATATGTTATCGATTATTCGTAGCTCAAGAAATCTGTCCAAGCGATTCCCATGAATCGATAAATAATCGTTTGACCGATAATCAGTCTTCGAATAATGCTTTAGTGCTGTAATCGATGTGTTATCGATTATTATTAGCTACAAAGGGAAATTCGGAGTACTCTCATCGATAAATTTCTATAATTTGCATAATTAATATCGATAGTTTTCGATAATTTAGATAATTTGGTATATTTTTCGATAACTATCGATGGCAAAAAAGTCCAGATTTTAGGCCCCCCTCCCCCGGGTTCCCTGCCAACTAATTTTTCTGCATTGCCTTCTTCCGTTTGCGATCGAACGCCTTCAGCTCGGCATCGGTGGGCCGATGCTCGCTGTAGCGGTCCACCCAGGCGTCGGCTATCTTGAAGAACTTCTTGTGATCGTTCCGATACTCGTTGGCCATGTCCATGCTCCAGGCATTGTCCGGCTGCGGGTCGTTGATGGTGGCCAGCAGGCAGTTGAGCACCGACTCGATGCGGGAGGTGGGCAGCCAGTGCTCGGTCTCGAGTATCGGCAGGCACACCTGTCCGCGCTCGTTCACATTCGGATGGTAGATCTTGGTGTTGATGTGGAGCCGCGGCGGCTTGAACGGATACTGCTGCGGGAAGTCGATCTCCAGCTTGTAGGCCCCCTTGTCGTACGGCGGACTGACGGGCATCAGCAGGCCGTACCACTTGAATATGTTATTGGGCTCCACCTCCAGGCAGCGGAGCTGCGGCAGCTTCGTATCCTCTATCATGAGCTTAAGCTCCTTCTGCATCCGCTTGGGCCCATCCATGATGGGCTCCTCCTGCTTGGCCATGCTGCTTTCGGGGCCTGCTTTCCGGTTTCTTCCAGCTGTATCTCAAAGTGTGAAATGTTCTCTCCGTTTCGGGAGCTGCTTACTGAAGGGATTTCGTTAACGTTTTCGGCACAGGCTACTGGGGACGGGGACGGGGGCGAGTTCTAGTTGAATGTATGGCACAAAAATCCTTTCACATTCGACATTAATCCCCGAAATAGCCGGCTAGAGTCCGCCGTCGCGGCCGTCGCTGACGTCGACAGGCACTGACAGCAGCACATTAGGATCAAAAGCGAATGTGGCATGAGGCAAGGAAAAGCCAAAGCCAAAGCCAAAGCCATGCCAGTGTAGTAGCCAGAGGCAATACCCTCTCACAAATGAAAAGCCGTTTTATGGCCAAGCTGCAGGTTTTCGGTGTCGTCCTGCCACTGTTCCTTGGCCCCTGCCCCTGCCCCTGTCGCTGCCACTGCCACTGCGATGGCATATTTATAGCGGAGATTTCATAAGCCTCGTGACATGTGAGTGGCATGTCTGGTCGAATAGAATGGTTTGCTGGTTTGCTGCTTGCTGAATGATGGGATTGCCATTGACATTTTAGTTTTCAATTAGTTGCCTGCGGCACTGAGGCACCTCCTTCCAACTCTTCTCAGAAGTTATGCCCCTTGGGAGCTGTCGTTTCGGTTTCGACTGAATTTTCCGCTTCTCATGGCTCATAAATATGTAAAAATCAAGAGCAAACAGAGACACAGCTCTCAAAAGGCCCCCCCTAGGCCGCCGACTCACCTTTTCCTTTGGCATTCGCCAGATAACAACAAAAAAAAAAAGAAACCCAAGTAAATATCAAAATATATACGACAGTCGACGGGCGTTTCGGGGGTGCGTGTGTGTGTTTAATTATTTATACGCCTGCGATGCTGTAATGCTGCGATGTCATCGTCATGTAAATGAAACCAACAAGAAGGCCCCCACGTGCCGCGGAGCGCCATTCCTTGGCAACAACATGGGGGCTAAAACATCGCCTACCACGCATAATTATAACAACAATCTCCATCTCCCTCGCCGTCTCTGTCTCTCTCTTTCATTGTATCTTTCGTCAGGGTCGATGTACATTCACGTGTGATTGATGGCTGGCCAATTCATGTCCTTTGCTGTTTCAGCAGCTGTCTCTCCAAAGACCGAAGGTGCTCAACACTGAGGTTAGCAAAAGATACATTTGCAGCTTGGCATTGATTTGTTTCAATCAACGAACTTTAAGTATTTAATGCCAATGGGCATGAGGTAGACAAGGAAGCCCGAAGATTGAAGGTGCAATAGACGATTCCCTGGGTTCTTTGGGTTCCTTGAAAGATGTTTTGAAACCAGTCTACTCCAGATACTTTTAGTCGTAGGTTCTAGGGCAATTTCCTGATCCAAAGTAGACGATCCACAGGGTCCCAGAGCTCCACCAAAGTGTATTCTATGGATGGGGGCTATGCCTTCGTATCTTTCAACCCTGCAGTGGCTATTTTCGGTCTCCTCTTTAAGCCCTCTCTTTGACTTCTTCCCTCACAAAGGAACCTCCCGAAATGTAGTCATCGTTGATTTTGGTTCCTTTTCGCTGCTTAAATCACAGTTAGCCTTCCGTCAAATGCCTGCTGGGCTCCTCTAATCGATAGTTTTTCCATAGTTAGCAAATGCCCAAAAATTTCCCCGTCCCCACAAAGTGGCGGCGACATGATAGATGCCTCCTCATCAGAAAAGGAGAGACGAACAGCCAAGGCGTCTGACAGCTCAGCGGGTAGCCTCCCCGCCCCCCCTTAGGGTGGGGTGTCCTAAGTGGTGGGTGGGGGGGAGTGGCTGGGTGGCTGGTGGGTGGTGGGTGGTGGGTGTATGACCCATCCATCGCAGCAGTTGCCGTTGTCGTCGCCATACTTTTAGCATAAACAGCCGGAAGCGGAAATGTTGATGACGCTCGCTCGTCGCTTGGCGGCGCTTTGCTCTTTCGCTCTTCTGATATATCTGATGTTTGTCTCTCTCTCTGTGTGTGTGTGTGTGTGTGTGTGCCCCACCCACATCTCTGGCTACTCATCCGTACTCCTTCCTCCTCATCTCCACCGCATTTTGTGTCATTTGTTTAGCTGTCATTGCCGGCGTATTGCCGCTGACAGCTCTCTGACTCTCTCTCTCTTTCTGTGTGGGGGCAACATGGCGCCAAGATTCAAAGGGGCCTGGGGGGGGGGGCTGCATCTGTTCTATGAGAAATCACCCAAAAATTAGCCATTGCCGCGCGGCATTAAATCTAATCTGATCCGATTTTCTATTACCAATTGCCGCAGCTCCTGCTGTGAGGATTGGGATTTTCTCTTTCACTCACACCCAATCCCCCTTTCTCCATGTGACTTTCTCGCTATCTCTATCTATGCCGCTGTGTCTGTCTGTGTCTGTGTGTGTTTTATCTCAATTTGCCTTGGGCTGTCTGTCTCTGTCTCTGTCTCACTCCTTTTGTTTGTTTGTTTGTTTGTTTGTTTGTGCACTTTAATCTTTTTATCGTACTCTAACACTTTCGTTGACTTTCGTGCCTTTTGTTCTCTCATTTGGGGTCCCTTATTAGCCCCCCCAGCCCCCCCGATCTGCCCCTAAAAAAGGCGCGAAAAATGTCGCGTGCTGATTTGTCCTTTTTTTCTTTTTTGCCGTTTCCGGAAGGCCTGTCATCGACCTTTTGGCTGGGTTACGGGGGCGGGGCAGGGGAAACCCTTGTCCAGAGATCTGTCTATCGCTGGGGCGGGGCGAAAGGATAGATGGCATGATAAACAGAGAGGGAGGGGTAGAGAGGGAGAGCGACAGCCTGATATATGATGCGATTAACGTGGAAGGTCCTTAATTGATTTCGTATGTCCTTTTGCAGGACTGCAGGACCAGAAACCAATGGCGAAATGCAGGCAGTAAGGCAGGAAGGAGTTTGCATCCCAAGAGTTGTCGTCACTCTTGTCGTTGCCACAAATTTAAAATTAATTAAGCGTCGGCTTATCAAAAACCAAATGGAGGCAAGAGCCACTCATGCAGGCATTAAACATTACACACATGCAACATGCAACAGATTATTTATGTGCCAGGGCGGGGGGCGGGGGGCGGGGGGGGGCACGAAACGATATCGTCATCGTTGCCCCATCATCATCATTGTGCCGCTCGGCCCCACTCCGCGCCGCATGCGATGATGTGTGGCACGTTGCCATAGTATAATATTAAATTACATTCGAAGTAAATAAAAGCGAAATGCAGCCACACAGAGACAGAGACAGAGAGACACAGAGAGAGAGAGGGAGGGAGGGAGGGAGTCGCTGTTGTGCCTCACTGTGTGTGTGTGGCATATGGGTACAGCCGCCCAGCAGCCCTGCCACAAAAGCCTCCTACAATCCCCAAAACCCCTCCATAACTTCCCCTCCGCCGAGGCCTGTGGCCTCCATAGGCGCAGGACCGGCATATCCTGCGAGCAGGGCTGACGATTTCTGTGGAACTAGTTCCGGTTTTATTGGAACCCAAAAACAAACGGAAAATGCCCGCTAAGATGTTCCAAAACAGAACTACTGAATGTGTTCTTGGAACTAGTTACTTTACACCTCTGGAACTAGTACCTTTACACCTCTGGAACTAGTTCCACTGGAATTTCGACCCCCATAAAGCGAATCCACAGAATGCCTTGTTGGAACCACTGAATGTTCTCTCGCAACGATCTGCCATGGAACTTGGAACCCCTCTGGAACTAGTTCCGGTTTGGTAGGAGCCCAAAAACAAACGGAAAATCCCAGCTAAGATGTTCCAAAACAGAACTACTAAATGTATTCTTGGAACTAGTTCGTTTACACCAATATTCCATACTGCAAGCGTCTCTGGAACTAGTTCCACTGGGAATCCACAGAATGCCTTGTTTGAACCACTGAATGTTCTCTCGAAACGATCCGCCATGGAACTTGGAACCCCTCCGGAACTAGTTCCGGTTTGGTGGGAACCTCGGAACAAACGGAAAATCCCCGCTAAGATGTTCCAAAACAGAACTACTCAATGTATTCTTGGAACTAGTTCGTTTACACCAATATTCCCTACTGCAAGCGTCTCTGGAACTAGTTCCAGTGGAAATCCACAGAATGCCTTGTTTGAACCACTGAATGTTCTCTCGAAACGATCCGCCATGGAACTTGGAACCCCTCCGGAACTAGTTCCGCAGCCCTCTCGCTCAGCTCTGCATCGGCATCCATGGCTTCATTCGGAGTCTACTTTGTCATAAATAATGCAAACTGAAGCAGCAACAGCGGCAGCCTCCCGCCCATTGCGAATCCGAGCCCCATCTTTAGCCCATTGGAGCCGCCCGGCCCCGAGTCTCCCCCCGCCCATTCCATGCAGACAGCCCCCCTCCTGCTCGTCGTTCTCATCGTTTGCTCGCGGGCATTACTCAATATGCAGTTAGCTGCTGCTGCACTCAAACGTGCTGCAATTACGAGGCTCCGTTCCGCACCGAACCGTAGCTACTGCCAACCTGAGCCTTGTGGCGCCACCCCCCCCATCCCCCATCCCCCCAGTCTGCCTCCGCCTCCGTGCAGCTCTCTGGCAGCGTTTTTGCAGCAACGTCATTTGTACTTAATGACTTTTCAACGTCGTGTGCGTGCAACATCAGTTTTCTTGAGGCTTTTTTTGGGGGGCGGGATGCAACAGGGAGGGGCGGGGAGGAGCTGTTCGTTGTTCGCTCATTTGCTTATTGCATTAAAGGGTGGGAAGGGAAGGGGGAGGGGGGGGGGGCACGGGTAAACCGGAAGGCGAGCCATAAATAAAACACGCACGAAGCCTACGTGCTGCGTGCCATGTGGGCACCTGTTGCAACCTGTTTTTGGGCCCACGTTTAATTGCAAAACGAAGTTGCCCCGCAGGCGGGAGGGGGCAAACAACAGAAAGATGGCCCAAATGTACCCAAAAGAAAGGCCATGTCTTGGTCTTGGGCTTAAGCCAAACCCACACACATCAAAGAAAAGCCTAGAAGACGGCGATGGGGAGGGAAAATCGCTGCTTATGCATCGGCTAGTCGTTCGAGAGAGGCCTGAAGGAGCAGCACATAAGAGGGAAAGAGACAGAGAGGTGGGCGAGGGAGAGAGTGG